GGTTTAAAACTGATTTTAAAATGGTATTATAGGTACTTCAGAGGGGCCCAGGAGGGTATGTCAAAATATTTTCGAAATTAGGGGGTTTCCCTTAGAGTGTAATCCACTTGGTAGTTAGTTCTATATAATTTGGGAATGAGGGAGGTCCATGGTTCGCCGGAACGGCATCGGAACGGTCGGAACGGCCGTTCCGGAACGGGAACGGTGCCCTCCGTTCCGGAATCCGTAACCAGAACGGTGTTTGCACCGTGACTCGTCGGAACGCCGAGAAATCGGTGGGATGGGCGAGACGGAGCCACGGAACGGCCCCGACGCGGCCGGAACGGCACCGGAACGGGAAAAGAGATTTTGAAAAAAAAAAAACTAATTTGACTAAAAAAAATAAGGGAAAAAAAACATAAATAAATAAATAAATAAGTAATATGATGATGGTGGCCACGTCAGATAATGAAGTCTATGAAGATTCCCCTGAATCTCACAGATCTTTGGCCTCACTTTTCAATTATATCCTACACAATTCCAGTTCGGTATTCTAGTTGGTATTAATATTGCTTGTATTTTCATAATATTCGTTGTAATATTTATTTTTTAAATTGTAATAATATTTTGCATATTATTGAATTGTAATATTATTATTAAAAACATATTTGAAATATATTGTATTTTTATAACAATTTAATTAAAATGTGTCCGTTCCGGTCGCAACGCAGCCGCGACGTTGCAACGGAACTGGAACGGCAGTGTCCGCGACAATGCACTGTTCCGTTCCGGCGAACCATGGGGAGGTCTACAAAACTAATCCCTAATAATTAACGTAAAAAAATTTAAAAACGTATGATCAAAATTTTTAAATCATTTATTGCGCACGTTGGTTGGTTCATGGAAACAATGTGTAAAATTTTTGAAAATAGCAAGTCAAAATGATTTTGTTATTTGTAATTTTAAAAATTCTCCAATTCATTTCTTTTTAAGGTAATTTTTATTTGGGTAAACTACAACAACCTCTGAGTCGTGTATGATCAATTTACGAAAAAAATCTCTCTAGATTGGATAATTACATCTATCCCTCAATTATAATTTTTTTTACATCTCCACCTTTATGGTGTCAAATTCAATATAATCATCTAGATTTCATGGACTGTGCTCTAATTTGTACTCATTTTGTGTAAGAATACAATTTTTGATGCACCACAATTTGATATAATACAAGCCAAAAAATACATATTATGATTATCTTGCTTCAAAATGTAGAGTTCAAATGGGATAAAACGAGTATAAAAGTGATAATATTCCATATAATCTCGAAGATTCCACTAAATTTAAAACTGCAAAGGTGGACGTATAAGAAGATTTATAGTTGATGGGTGATTATAATTACCCAAACAGGAGGGGATTTTCGTAATTTGACCATACCTCAGAAGTGGTTATAATTTAACCTTTTTATTTTAGTGAAAATGACGATAGAATTTATAAAAATTGGTACCACTCACTTTCTGAAAATTGATGAAAAATTGGTATCAGTTCAGTTGTAACAATAGTAGTACAAAAGGTCAACAATCAAATCTACGTGAATCGAACCAGTTACAAATTGAGAATATTTCATATAATCTTAAAAATTCAACTAAATTTGAATCGACAAGGGTGTACGGTAAGAAAATTTATAGTTGGGGTGATTGTAATTACCTAAACAGGAGGGTTTTTTTTCCGTAATTTAAACCTACCTCAGGGGCGGTTGTAATTTATACTGAATACTTTTACAAAATTAAATAAATATATATAAAAAATAAAAATAAAAATTCAGCAGATTCTGGAGACATTCTGAAGAGCTTTCACTACAATGCTCATGTTTGGACGGTCACCAGGTTTATTTTGTACACACAAGGCAGCAACTTGAGCCATCTGTTTGCACACATACATGTAACTCAGTGTCAAACATAACACCAAATCAGGCAAGAGAAACCGAAACCGAAACCAAAACCGAACCATATGTTTTATACCATTGCAACTGCTTTTGAAGGGTAGTCTCCGTTCAGTCGGGGATCGACAAACTGATTTACATTGTCTTTCCCAAGCAGCTTTGGCTTTGCCTGTGTGATTTGTTTATTATATACAGATAGATAGTATTGACACTTTGTAAATGGGAAAAAAGAATAAAAAGCTTTTAATGAAGAAAAATTGCATACCCATGCCACAAGAGACCGATGTTTCGGGTCATCAATTGGTTTACGGCCCGTCAAGAGTTCCAGCAGCACCACACCAAAGTTGTACACATCACTCTCCTTGCTCAGCTCGCCAGTCTCTGGATATCTAGCATCGGAAACAAAATAATTAAGTAGAAATTCAAACTCTGTTCAATCTCTAGGAAAGACGGGAAAAAGATCGTACTCAGGAGCATAATAACCACGAGTCCCAATAATGGCATTGGAACTAAGAGTATCCCCGAAAGTTGTTCGACCTGGTAGATCAAAATCGGCAATCTTGGCTACATCGTACTCATCAAAAAGTAAAACATTTCTAGACTTGATGTCGCGGTGAATCTGTCCCTTGTCGTGAATGTATTCTAATCCTTTAGCAGCCCCAACCGCAATTTTAACTCTTTCGGCCCATGATAGATACCGGTTGGGCTCCGAGGCTTCGAAGCTTTCAATTGAGATGAAGTCGCTTTCTTCTATTGAAATACCTGAAATTTGATACGTAACAACAAGTCATAATGAATGAAGATTTATATGAAGGGAACAGCTAAAAACTAACTCTGCCAAACAAAATTGGATACCCTTTTCAGCTATCAGAGATAACAATCAACAAGAAGTAATCTTGGCATATATACTCTTGAAAAGCTATAAACTAATGCACATTTTGAACCAAATAATAAGTCAAAAAAGGGTAACTTCACTAACCATAAAGAATATCATGTAGGGAACCTCGTGGAGCAAACTCATAAGCCAAGACTCGTATACCACCATCCACACAATAACCAAGAAGCTCAACCACGTTTTCGTGCTTTAGGCTGGATATCAATGAAACCTGAAAAAAACTACTATTAACCAACTTATCTTTCGTGGAAAGTAATAACCAATGCATATATATCAAAATTCCATACCCATCTCACAAGATTTTTCTCTTCTGGCTTTGTATCAGCTGGTTTACAGCCTGTCAAGAGTTTCACGAGAATCACGCCGAAGCTGTAAACGTCGCACCTCCAGCTTAGTTAGTCTTTGATTCCATATCTACCACCGGAAATAAAATAAAAAATTGATAAGTACGTATTCGTAAAACCAACTGTTCTGTTCGTTTCCAAGAAAGAGTCGGAAAGGGGCATACTCAGGGGGGCGATAACCGCCAGAGATCCTAGGATAAACAGCGTAAGGAAAGCCAACTTCCACTTGAGGTGCAAGATTTGACAGGCCGAAATCAGCAATCTTAGCAATATCATAATCACCAAAAATTAAAAGTTGCTGCTCGACTTGATGCCATAGTGAATTTGTCCTTTCTCGTGAATGTATTTCAATCCTTTAGCAGCCCCAACTGCAATTTTAACTCTTTGGGCCCACGACAGAAACGGAACTGCTCGGAAGCCTTTGACATCTTTCCGTCCTGTGTTGGCAATTAAATTTAATCAATTGCATGCGAAACAACAATGAGTGTATATACAATGAAGATTTTTATGAGAGGACTCGTCATAAATTTCAGCAAAATACAGTCAAATCAATCACCGTGAAGAATGTCCTGTAAGGACATATGCGGAGCAAACTCGTAAGCCAAGACTTGCAAATCACCCGCTACATGATAACCAAGTAACTCAACCATGTTCTCGTGCCTTCGGCTGGACATCATCAAAACCTGCAAAAACCATACGTCGGACAACGTTCTTTATTAAAAGTTCATATGCCAGCTATTTTAAATGGGCATAGTTTTAGAGCCAAACTTGTGCAAGAAGTTCTTGGTCCGGCTGGTTGATAGAGTCCAGCTTTTTAATTGCTGCCACCTGTCCTGTTTTCATGATTCCACGGTATACCCTTCCATAGGAGCCCTCGCTGATTAAACAGTTTAAAACAAAGTTATCAGTGATGATTTTTAATTCATCTACTGGAATGGCAATGGCAGGGGCAGCAGTTGGACAGCATATTGATAGTCTTTTTATCCTTTTCCGTTGCTTCTGTGGCACGATAGCCTGTAGATTTGCCTAAATAAAATCTTTGAAAATTATAGGCTTGTAACAGATAATAAATAAATAAAAAATCGTAACGGATAAAAAAAAATTCCACCTGATGATTTAACTCTTTTGAATAATGGATAGAATAGCCAATATCACGATGTTTTATGTGTTGCATCTTTTCTGCCATCTTTTCTTCCAGATTGAGGCTTATCGTTAACAACATTGCTGTTAGTTCGTTCTTCCAAAGTAAGATTCTGGGCATCCATGGATTCCATTGAGAGTTTCCAGTGCTAATTGAAGAGTTATTTTCCTCGTCGGATGGATGTATATCAGCCGCACCACTTGCTATCCTTTTTGGTAGTAAATTTGAGGTTTCATTTCGTTCGCGTGCAAACTCAAGTTGAAGTACAACTTATGCCATTGTTGGCCGTTTCTTTGGTTCATCATGCAAGCACCTTTCAGCTACCCCAACAAAAGCCGTGAGGCTATCTTCCGAGATTTCACCCAACAGATTCGAAGCTACAATCTGGTCGCCTTTTCCATTAATAATATTATCTCGAGCCCAATTGGTTAGAATCATTTCCCCGTGCTCATTGCAGTAGCCAACCAGAGTGACTAGATTGACGTGTCTTGGCTCAGTTGGTGTTTCAATCTCTGTTAAAAACTCGTGCGCCCATTGTCTGGATTCTAGTTTTTTTTGAATTAAAACTTAAAAAATTACTGGTACTTAAATCCTGTTTTTTTGAATACTAAGCTAAACTTAATTTCAAATTTTTAATATTATCATTTTTATAATATATTATAACAAACAATAAATAAATAAAGTTGACTAGCCCAACAATAGAGAAAAAAACTCAGCGCTCATCAGATATGGCATGCTCATAATCCCGAGCTCGTAAATAGTCACCTAATATATGGCCCCAAAGTTAACTACTACTTTATATAGCTGTTTAGGGTGCACATCAGAAAAACCCAAAAGATAAAAGCCAATGAGTTTTCTACAGAGTATTGTGCATATGCAGGGTGAGTGCATCGTTTATTTACACATCAATACATTTAAATCAACACATACGGGTGTAAAAGGGCGGTGAGATAATCCTTCACAGTTAACTTTTACAAGCCTGACTGATATCGAGCATTCAACAGGGGCTGGAGAGCTTTCACAACAATGCTCATTTTTGGACGGTTATCCTCGTTATATTGAACACACGAGGCAGCAATAGCAGCGAACTGTTTGAAGCAAATCATCAAAAGAAACGATCATGCGCATACATGCAATTCAGTTTTAAAACAACGACGATTTAATCAGCGAAAACAAACTGATCAAATACCTTTGCAACTGCCTTGAGAGGGTAGTCCCCGTTCAGTCTAGGATCGACACACCGCTGTACCTGTTCTTCTACCACGGGCTTTGGCGTTGCCTCGTGCTTTATTATTATATAGGGAAAAATATATTAGTTTATCATTTGGGAAAATTAAAATTTAACTAGGAAAACTGCATTACCCATGTCACAATTAGAGACACATATGAATGATCAATTGGTTTACGGCCTGTCAAGAGTTCCAGAAGTACCACACCGAAGCTGTACACATCACTCTTATTGCTTAGACGGCCATTCATTGTATATCTGCCACAAAAAAATAAAAAAATAAAAAAATAAAAAATCAAGCCCTGTTGAAGTACAAATTAAAAAAGGACCATAGGGGAAATTAAAAAATTTAACTCCAGGAAATACTCAGAAAGGAGTATACCGGGCCTCATGGGGGCAATAAGGACCATTGGACCTCGGGTGGATAGCGGAATATGTCCTTTCACGGGCTCGGTTTGACAGACCAAAACCATCAATCCTAGCAACATCATAATCATCAAAAAGTAAAATCTTGCGAGAGCTGATGTCACCATGACATTGCCGCCATGAATCCTTGTGTATGTGTTCTAATCCTTTTGCAGCCCCAACAGCAATTTTAACTCTTTGGGTCCATGACAGAACCACCGAGCCTTTGACATACTTGAACTCTATACACAACAAGAACCTATTTTGAGCGAATAACTTCTTGTAAACAATTGATTTTAAAAGGCGTACGCCTATTGCGTTTGAACCAAGATCAATAAGAGAAAACTTACCATGAAGAATCTCATGTAGGGATCCATGTCGAGTAAACTCATAAGCCAAGACTTGCAAACCACCATCCACACAATAACCAAGTAGCTCAACCACGTTTTTGTGCTTTACTCTGTAAATCTTCGAAACCTGCAAAACCTCCAACCTATCTTCATGAAGTTACAACCGACGCAGTTTTACCAACAGAGATAGTGTTAGTGCCAAACCTGTGCTAGAAATTCTTGGCTGTTCTGCTTACTGGAGTCTAGCTTTTTAAAGGCTGCATCCTGTCCATTTTTCATCACTCCACGGTATACCTCTCCATAGGATCCTACGCCGACTAAACACTGAAAACCAAAAGTATCGGTGATGTTCTTTAATTCGTCAACTGGAATGGCAGGGACATCAATCGGCAGCATATTAATAGTCTCTTTATCCAGTAATTCATCTCCTGGAATGGTAATTGGCAACATATTAACAGTCTGTTTATCCACTAATTCATTTCCTGGAATGGCAGGGGCAACAACCGGCAGCATATTTACGGTCTCTTTAGCCACTAATTCATCTCCTGGAATGGCAGGGGCAACAATCGGCAGCATATTAACAGTCTCTTTATCGTCTAATTCATCTACTGGAATGCCGGGGACAACAATCGGCAGCATATTAACAATCTGTTGGCTCTTATCCGCTGCTTCTGCCGCACGAAACTCTGTGGAATCGCATAAAGTAGAACTTCAATAAGTCTGTTTTAGTAAACCATGAAAGTTTGAGCATAAAACAATGAACGGGATTTTTTTATTTTTTTTTTATTATTTATTGTTCCCATTTAAATTAGCAAGTGATAGTAACAATTAATTTTTACCGGATGGTTTAACAAGGTTCCAAAATGCATCCCATAGCGAAAATCGTGACGGTTTACTAATCGTGTCCTCTTCTTTTCTTCCAGATGGTGTCTCAGCATTAACAACTTTGCTATTAGATCGCTCTTTCGGAGGAGACGGTGAAAGATTATGCACATCAGAAGAGGCAATTGTCATTTCCCCAGTACTAACCGAGAAGTTAGTTTTGTCATCAGAATGATGGCAATCATCCACATTACATGTTATCCCGTTTGACACAACACATTTTAACCTCTCTTGCTGCTCAAGTGCAAACTCAAGTTGAAACACAACTTCAGCCATTGTTGGCCGTTTCTTTGGTTCATCATGCAAGCACCTTCCAGCAACCTCCACAAACGCCTTCAGGCTATCGTCTGTGATTTCTCCCCTCAAATTTGAAGCTATAATCTGGTCCAGATTTCCATTACTAATGCTTTCTCGAGCCCACTTGGTCAAAATCTGCTCATCCTCACCAGCTCTTGGATCCACTGCCGGTCTACCACCCAATACTTCCAACAACATCACCCCAAAGGCATATGTATCACTTTTCATGGTCAGTTTACCCGTATTAAAATAATTCGGGTCGAAATACCCAAATGTGCCCTTAACTTTTGTACTAACATGACTCTGTTGTAACTTACATGTGCTTAAGTATTTAGCCAGGCCAAAATCGGACACCTTAGCTACGAAATTTTCATCCAGAAGGATATTTGAAGCCTTTACATCACGATGTATGAGTGAGTGGCCAGTGTGAAGATAGTCTAACCCTCGACCAGCTCCAATGCATATGGTAAGGCGTTGCCTCCAGGTGAGAGAATGACGGTCATGGTTCGTCCTTGAAAGTTTGTAGAGCTGATCAGCCAATGTTCCACAAGCCATGTACTCATAAACAAGAATCATTTCCCCATGCTCATTACAGAAGCCAATGAGAGAGACTAGATTAACATGTCTTAGCTCAGTTAGTGTTTCAATCTCTGTCAAAAACTCTCGCGACCCTTGATGGGATTCTAATTTTTGCCGCTTTATTGCGACAGTCTTTCTCCCATTATCAACGAGGCCTTTGTAAACTCTACCAAATCCACCTCTTCCAATGAGATGCGATTCGCTGAAATCTTCAGTCGCTAACTGCAATTCGTCTAGTGAAAACCGGCGACACAGTCGTTTCGCCCTGTCCGATGGCTTGTTTTCCTCCACTGTATCACTAGCTTCCCAAAATTGTCGAGATATATACACAATGGTGTTTACTGCAACAAGTAGTGTTATAGCTGCAGTTGCAATCATGTTTCTCTGGCCAAGAATATGATGTAAATTTTGGTACGATGAATCATGCGAAGAAGGCAAGGGATTTGGACTGGCAAGACTATCGTCGGGGTTGCTCAACTTTATTATTTCAAATCCTTTAAGTGGTCCATGTCCATTCATGAACTCATCATTTGATTGCAGACAAATCAAGAGATCGTGTTTACCCTCTTCTTTGTGCCCTTTCATCGTCACCATGTAGTCCCTATACCAGGGATTGCTATTTTCATCAATATTGGCGATCATTTCATTAATGCTAACTGTAAAAATAACACCACCAATATCGGCAATCTTGAATCCTAACTCTGAGAAATGAAGTCTGACCAAATACCTGAATCCCACATCCACTGATACTTTCCAGGTAATATTGTTCATCTTGCTTGCTTTCTTCTTTGAAATGGTTTCCCACATCCCAAACATGTCACTGATACTACCACCAGACAAAACAGACTCATGTTTAATATTTACCCTGCGGATTATTTCAAGTGCAGTCCCATTGTCAATATAGACCAGAGACTTCCCAACCATTTGGACTCCAATATCTCCTTTGTGGAAGTAAGAAAGATCGGAAGGCACTGAGATAACCTCAATGCCATTTATGAAAGCATATGTGTTTAATGATTCACTACTTGACCGAGAGAAAACTATGTTCAACTGTTCATTTTCTTCTATGTTCACGCAAAATTCTTTAACAAAAGAATTCACACTAAGAGCCTGAGCAGTAAGGGAAGCACTAAAGTTGCTTAGCAGGGTGAAAGGACCGGCTTCAACATCGAATAAATCCTTGAACCTTTTGAAGCCTTTATAAGGACCGGGATTAAAATGAAGGCGGAGAATTTTCTCACCCGGATTTACTTGAAATGTATAGGAGAAACGGGAACGAGAGAATCGACCCGTTTTGTAGGGAACTGGATCATCAGCAGAGACCAACTTATGAGTCACACTTGAAGCGGTTGATGAGCCCTTTATTTGAAGCAATGAAGATAATTTTGGCTGTGCATCTCCATGCCATTCCTTGCTGTCTCGTGCCGCAGAGGTGCCACTCGAGCCACAACTAAGGGAAACATCGCCTGTTAAGTGAGTGGGATTGTTAGTGGCGGCTGTGAATTTGTTGAATAAGCACACAAATAGCAAGAAAATCGAAAATGGACACAGATTCATGCTTCAAGATGCACTCTGTTGTAAACCAAGAAGAATGATATGCGATGACTTTCTTATCCTAATATTACTTCTTTAGTATAATAATAGTTTTAAGGCAATTTGCTGTTGATGAAGCTTTCTATTCATTTTCTATTTCAGTCATAGTTAGAACCATTCTCCAATATTGCTTGGTCTCTGGTTTACAATTTTCCTGTCTTTTTCAAGGTTTCATTTTATACTCATTGATCAGAGGTTTTGATTACCATGATCCTCTAAAAATATATGAAATTGAACAGATTTTTACGGCATACTGATTTTCCTCCGAAGTTTGAACGTACTCGTTAAGAAATTTCCAAGAAATGTTGATAAGTCGTGAGCTATTTCACGCACAGGAAAACAAATAGTTACAGGCTAATTAAGGAAAACAAATGTTCATATTATTCGAATAGTGATAATGTCACTTTTTATTATTCCTCTTACTACAAGAAAAAATTACGTTGAAGGTACCTTCAATCATTTCCACAACCATTACACGTATGTATAGTATAGAAATGGGGATATTATAGTAATGAATAACGATTATCTACAATTAAAGAGTTCTTGACATGAAAATAAGGCTATGCTAATCAGTTTAAAGTGGTGATTTACTGATTTACCCAATTAATATTTTTGCTAATTATGCACAATGATTACTGTATTTCTTCAACTTAATAATTAAACTTCTAAGGACTGAGAAGGTAATTACTTACAAAAATCAATCTTTGGCATAAAAACTGTTCATTATTCTATCGTAATTGGATCCCAAATCTTGCATAATCCAGATTAATCACTACCAATCAAGAAACTAAAATCAATTAACGCATAATACATACCTCAAGTGAAATCCATGTCCAACCATGAATTCATCATCTGATTGGGGGCAAATCATGAGATCTCGCTTTCCCTTTTCTTTGTGCCCTTTCATCATCACCATGTAGTCCCTGTACCAGGGGAATGCCTGGAGAAATGAAGCCTGACCAAGTACTTGAATCCCAAATCCACAGATATTGTCCAGGTAATGTTATCGATCTTGCTTCCTTTCCGCTTAGTACCACCAGACATTAATAGAATCATGTCATGACCACTACGAGCAGATAAAACAGAATCGCGTTTAATATTTACCCTGTCGATTATTTCAAGCAAAAGTAAGAAAGACTGGGAGGCACGGAGACAATCTCGATTCCATTTATGAAAGCATACACATGTCTAACGATTCACTACTTGAAGAAGAGAGAACAATGACCAAATTTTCGTTTTCTTCTACATCTAAATCGAACTCCTTAACAAAAGAATTCACAGCAAGCGCATTCTTGTCATTATTGTACTTTAACTCTCTAAATAAAAGACCGTACGGTACTAGTTGCTGAACAAGTGTTGAGTGAGCAGAGAAATAGAAAGAGAACGGGGAATCGACACCGATTCATGCTTCGAACTCAGTCCTGTTGTAAACCAGAACTGAAGAATAGTCTGAGTAATAGATTGTTGACAATTTCAATTTGTTTAAGTGGAGATATTTTCTTTAGTTATCTTCTACTCAGTAAAAAAATGAGATTGTATGGTAATATTTCACAATTAGTGAAGATTAAGAGCCTTTAACATAGAGATTAATGCTTGGCTTATCAGTTGAATTCAGATTATGGTAAACATTCAGAAAGTGTTTTGAAATGTAAAAAAAAAAAAAAAAAAAAACAATTCGAAGTTATTCATCATCTTAACGTAATTGGATCCCAAATCTCACATAATCCAGATTAATTTCTAAAATTAATAAATCGATTAATACATTAATATCTACTGAAGTCAAACCTTTCATTGAAAAAAAAAGAAAAGAAAAAAGGAAGACTCAAGTCAGAACCTACATTAGAAATGCCATTTTTCCTACGCCGCCGTGGCCTCGTCAGGCGCCGCCCCCTCCGACGTTTCCGGTGGCAGAGAAACCCTTGCTCTTGTCATATAAAACTTTCACCTTCGCCCTCACAGCCCTAACCTCTTTGGCGACGCTAATTAGCTTCATAGGGCCAACAAAAGCAAAAACGAAGAAATTCCGAGCCCTATTCTCCGCCGCCAAATTCGAAAACGCGGCGATCACAGCTTCAGCTTCGCACACCACGCCCTGGATCTGCGCCGCGAACTCTTCAAGCGCGCCGTCGGATTTCTTCGCTGAGTCGGCGAGGAACGCTTTGAAGAGGAGGATATCGTTCTCCAGGATCTGAACTTGATTCTCTGCGTCGCGAACCAAACGGCCATTTTGCACCAAAACACGCTTCAGATTTTCGAGCACGTACAAAACTGCCAGCGATTTGGCCGGATTTGTGAGGTTGTTCGCCGGCGTGCGCGAGCGCGTGAACAAGTAGACGCCGGTTAGGGTTGCAAGTTTCAGGGCGAAGAGTAGCTGCTGCTTCATAGCTGACCTGTAATTTTGAGTCTTCAATCTTCATAGAGGTTTTTAGCCGGCAGGGGAAGTTTTTATTTATTGGTTAATTAAATTTTTCATCTCTTTAATTTATTTTGAAAGTTTTAAATTATTTAAGTTAATTTAAATAGTAAATTTAAACCACCCCTGAGGTGTGTCAAATTACGAAAACCCCCCTCATGTTTGAATAATTACAACTACCCCTTACTATAAATCTTCTTACACGTCCATCCTTATGATGTCAAATTCAACATAATATTCTAAATTACGTGGAATGTTTTATAGTTTATAGTCATTTTGTGCAATAATGCAGTTTCTGATGCACCACAATCTGATATATACAAGTCGAAAAACACATTTTATGATCATCTTGCTTCAAAATGTGGAGTTCGAATTAGAAGTTTATTTAAAAAATATATAAATATAATTAGGACTCCATATAAAAGGACTTTATTGCAAAACATCTTGCGTTATTTTAAATCGCTAAAAAAGTCATCATGTTATTATATTCGGCATAAACTCCCTGTGTTGTGTTGATGAGATTTTTAGGGTCTGTTTGTCTTTAATTGTTCAATCATAGGGGCCTTTTCTTAATTAAGATAAACACAAGGGTAGCACAATATAATAGATCCCATATAATTTTTCTTCACTAAGAAAATCATTGATATCATATTTGCACTTTCACCATCCAGAAGATCCTTGGAGTGGGCGGAGAAGTGAGAGAGTGAACTCACTGAGTCAACTCACTGAGTTTCAGCTCTAAAGAAAATTTGTTTCTTGTTAAAGCTTGAAATAAACCAAAGTAGATTTGCCAAATTTGCTACGAAGTACAAATACAAAATGAAAATCGAGCACAAGAATATCAATACAAACGATTTCGACTTACACACGTGGCACCTAGAATCCGAAATGTACGACGATCTCATTGCTCGTCGGGAGGAAAAACGGTGAGCTTGAACGCGCACGTATTGCTAGTTTCCTCCGCTTGCTTCCTACTTCTCGCTTCTTGAATCTTCTTAGCCGGTGCAGCCGCAAATTTCGAACGGTACAAGTCCAAAAGCTGGAGGGTCGGTATATCGGCCAGGCCGATCGGAACCTCTTGAAGCTCCTCACAGTAATGCAGCTCAAGCCGTCTAAGCCGAGGGAAGTGATGCCCCGACGCCACCCAAACGACCAAATCCGTCCGTCCGATATGCAACACCTCGAGGCATCTGAACCCTCCGTCTGCCGCCACCCAACTCTTCCCCACAAACGCCTTCTCCTTCAACTTCAGCACCTCGAGATTCTCGAGCAGTCCTATGATCGACATGTGGCACCAGTCGAGGAAAGTGTCGGCCAACGTTAAGCTCCTCAGTTTCGGCGGGAACTTGTAGGGTTGAGGTAGGCCCCGCAGTTGACCCTCCGACGGCGGATTAGGGAAGACGTCGTTTAGCAGCTTTAGCTTCTCGAGATTTCCCAGTTTTCCCAAACTGTCGAACGATCCGACTTTACCCTCGATGAGCGAGGCGAGCCGGCCGCGAATGCCGAGCCTCTTCAGATTGCGGGCCCGGTCGAAAACTTCTTCGGTGCAGCTTTGGGGAGAGATCGTTCCGAGGGTTTGGAGCTTCTCGCCTTCTTTGCTGCTCTTGCCCGTCTTGGGCAAGACAGCCGACGCGTTCGTCTTTAGATGCCTTAATTGGATCATCTTCCAAATATCGGCTTTGATTTCGAGGGTGCGGGAAGTCGTGTCGACGACTAGGGTTTGTATGTTCCAGAGCTTGGAGAACGCCGCCGGAAGAATGGACAAGTTGAAGGACAGCGTGACGTACCTCAAATGGACCAATTGGTACATGTCGCTATGGATTTTCGTGAACTTGATCGGCTTCACATCCAACACTCGGAGAAGTTTGAATGCCGCGGGAATGGCCGAACTGCTGTCCGTCGGTAAAGTGACTTCTTCCTTGGAGAAACAAACGAAAGATCTAACACGAGGACCAAATGGTTTCCGAGAGAGGAACTTCAAGACATCGGAGTGGATACACAGACGCCGATACTTATGTACGTTACAAACCGGAGGATCGAAGATTCCTTCACTCGACTTCTTCATTTCTTGGAGGAAATTCTCTCGTTCGTTACCCGCTTCCGTTCGGCAGAAATCGCGAAGCATATCGTGAATGCGGCACGTCTTGACTCTACCGTCGGGTTTAATCTTGTCGATTCGGACTAAGTTCCGATTGATAAGATCGTCCAAATAGCTCTCCGCGGTTTCCTCTAAGGTCATTCCGGTTTTCTGTTGTATGAATCCTTCGGCAATCCACATGCGGATCAATTTCCAAACGGGGATCTCGAAATCCTCGGGGAACATTCCTAAGTAAAGAAAGCACGCCCTCAAATGATACGGCAATTTATCGTAACTCAACGCTATGATCTTCTCCATGCGCCTTTCGGGGTCCTCGTTAAGATACGTGCTCACGCTTTCGGACACTTTCGTCCACGCGTTCTTCTTCGCGATCATTTCATTGGACGATGAAAACTTTTTGACAAGAATGCCCCCGATGACAACTACCGCTAGCGGTAGCCCGTCGCACTGCTCCGCTATTAGTTTCCCGAGGACTACCAATTCTGTCGGGCACTCGGGCTTGCCGAAAACCTCGAGCTGAAGCAATAGCCAACTCTCCGCATGAGTAAAGAAACGTAATTTATGGGGGGGTCTAATGCGATTCGCACACCAAGCGACTTCCTCGTGGCGACTAGTGATCAAAACTTTGCCCAAATTGTTGCTTTTCGGGAGGGCGATTTGGAGTTTATTCCAATCCTCGGACGTCCACACGTCGTCCATGACAATCAAGAATTTGCCTCTCGCTAGACTGCCGTCGACGAGGTTGGCTAGCTCTTGATCACTTTTCCGATAAATGTCATCGGTAAGCCTCGTGAACTCCCTCAGAATGGAGAGGAAGACGTCTTTTTTTGTGAAATCTTGGGAAACGTAAACCCATATACGCGTGGGGAATTCGTACTGGATTGCCGGATCGCGGAAGATCTTCCCCGCTAGCGTTGTCTTGCCTAGGCCAGGCATGCCGATGATGGAGATGACATCGAGCTGCTTAGTTTCTTCAGTGAGGTATCCGATTATCTTTAAGGCCTCGTCTTCGAATCCCACCACATTGTCTTGTCTTACCAAGGGAGCCTGCAGTTTGACATTTTTTTAATGATAAAATTAGTAAGAGTTCAAAAAATCAAAATAATCGAATTGAAGAAAAAAAGGTGCTAAATCCCACACATAAATTTAAAAAAAAAAATCTCTCTCTACTCATATTCTCTCTATGATGATTTTATCCAATTCACTCAAAATTCGTTAATTTTTCACGAGAATAATCATAGAAAACAGGAGTTCAGTTTTATTTCGTATTTATTCAATTTCATTGTGCCTTTTTAATTATTCAAATTCATATCGATTCGAATTTTTTCCATAAATTCCAACTTTGTGAAAAAGAAGACTTTTCTCAAATTCGAACTTGAAATACTAGGGATGTTTTTAGCGTGTGACTTTGTGAAAAAGTTAGCCAAAAAAAAAGGTGGGGAAGGAGAAGAGAAGAGATTCTAGAGAGAGAAATATTTTCAGTTAGTGTGCATGATTTGGTGAAATTAGCCTGGAATTTAGTATTCAAGTAATAGTAATCTGTTATATAAGTTCTATTTGTGATATCTACAAATGGCAGACTAAACAAAAGTCAACTCTGAATTCTGAATTCTTGCCCAAAATTATCGTCAGTTCAATTTCAAGATCCCAAATTTAACATGAAAGTCAACTCTAAGTGTTGCCGGAAATATCAGCAGTTCAATTCCAAGATCCCTAATTCAAGATCTTACTACAAAGTCAACTCTGAAGTTAAAGTCAACTCTGAACTCTGCGAGGTCTTGCCCATACACTATCATGAGTTCAATTTCAAGATCCCTAATTTAACATGAGAAAGTCAAGTAGTCAACTCTAATTGTTGCCGGAAATATCAGCAGTTCAATTCCATGATCCCTAATTCAAGAACTGCAAAGTCAACTCTGAACTCTGAATTTTTGCCCAAAATTATCATGAGTTCAATTATTTCAAGATCCCAAATTTAACATGAAAGTCAACTCTAAGTCTTGCCAGAAATATCAGCAGTTCAAATCCAAAATCCCTAATTCAAGATCTTACTACAAAGTCAACTCTGAAGTCTTAGCCAAAGATATAATCAATGTCAGTTTCAAGATCCCTTAATTTAACACAAGATAAGAGAGAGAGAAAGAGAGAGAGAGAGAGAGAGAGAGAGAGAGAGAGAGAGAGAGAGAGAGAGAGAGAGAGAGAGAGAGAGAGAGAGAGAGAGAGAACTGACCTCAGATTCTTCAGGACCACCATCGCCGACGGTGAGGCTAGCGAAGTCAATCCGGCTCTTGCCGCCGTAGATATCAGTGACCTTACCACCGACGGATTCGACATCTTTGGCGATGCCGAGGAGCTTGACGGGGGTCTGAAAAGCTCGGAGGAAGTAGTTCTTGGACTTGCTCTCGGCGGCCTGAGTGACGAATGCGTCGATGACGTCCTCCGCCTCGTAGACGACGTCGCGTATCTGGCGGACGAGCTCCCGGAGGCTGTCGTCCTTCCGCCGCTTCTTGGTGGAGTCCTTGAGGAACGCTTTGAAGAGGCGGAGATCCTTCTCCAGCTTCTCCACCTGGTTTTTCGCGTCGCTGATCAGATGCGCGTGGTATAGGAGTAGCTGCTGAAGATTTTCCAGCAGGAACTCCACTGCTGCATCCGCCATTTCACCTCTCTCTCTCTCTCTCTAGAACTTCTCTCTCTAGAAATGTAATGTGTGATCAAGAATAGTCAGCCATTGCTGCTGAAGGACTGAAAAGAAATCGATTCTTTCTTTAGTGATGTGAAGCAATTATTTCAGGCTGGTGGGTCCCACCATTAATAATAAATATTTGGAAGCAAAATTACAAATAAGTTATTGTTGAAGAAAAAATGTCTGGATTGACCCCAAATAAAATTCGATTTTTTAAAAGTTGCACGGTTATTTACCGAAATAAATCTTATATTCAGTTTAGTTAACGGTATGAAATGTTGGCGTATCGAAATTTCGGTTCGGTTTTATCGATTTAACATCTCTAAATTTAACTCTGGAAGGGTATTTGACTATTTTTGGTTCGATTTTCCCTCAAATTTGCAGCGATTTCACATTTGGTCTTCCATATTTACAAAAAATACATGTGGTCTTTCATGTTTCAAAAATTCAACACTTTCAGTCATTTCTGTCAATTTTTCGTTAGTACTAACGGAAATAAATGTGTGTACATCATCACCTTAACTGACGGACTAACGGTAATTTGACGGAAATGGCCAAAAGTATTTAATTATTGAAATATGATTATATGAAAGACCAAATATGTTTTTTTGTAAACATAAGTGACTAAATGTGAAATTGGTGCAAACTTGAGGTGCCTAAACTGTAATTTTCCCATTTTTCAATTGTCGAAGTTGGGTCTTATTGGGCTTATTTATCTGGACTAGTTTAATTGGGTAAAAACATTAAACTCTTTTCAAATCAAATGGGCTTATCGAAGCATATAAAATCGTGTCTGAAATTGATCTGGAATTAGGGTTTTGGTAACGGGCAAAGAGGAAGCGCGGCGAAGGGAAGAGAAGAGAAGAAGACCAACAGCCATGGTTCTCAAGTAACTTCCTCACTCTTATCAAAATCAAAATGATGCTGTTATTACATTTTGTGAAATGTTTATGATTTGGATGAATAAGTTGTTTCGCACTTTTAATTTCGTTTACCGATGATGTTTTTTCTGAGTTTCATGTGATTCAATTTCTGTTGTTCTATCTTAATCCTATAATTTTCAGCTGATAATAGTTATTGTTAGCAACTGAATACCCAAAAGACCTGCATTTTGCATTCTGATGCTGAATGAATCATTTTTTTCTGGGTGTTGGGAGCTTGGAATTGGCGAAGCTTTTGAATTCTTGTTTGTAAAGCTTTTGATTTACAAAGAAAATGGCGTTGGTTCTGTTTATTTAAACAATGTTATAGCTGTATTGAGAGTTGAGAAGCATCGAATCGTTATGGGGTCTTACTATTTTATTCGATGTGTTTCGAAAGAATTTTTGGATTCATTAGTAGTTTGCTTCAGCTTTTGTTTCGGTCTAGGTTAATTTGTTCGTGCATCCAACGTTGTCTGTGTAGAAACCTCGGTTATCATTAGAGAAGGCTTATATCAGTAGAGAGTGAAGAATCATCGAATGGTTATGGGGATTTACCATTCTATTTGATGTGTTTCGAATGAATTTTTCGACTCATTAGTAGTTTGTGTCGGCTTTTGTTTTGGTCTAGGTTAATTTGTTCTTGCATCCAATGTTGTCTATGTAGAAACATTGGATATCATTAGAGACGGCTTATAGCAGTATCGGAAACTGTGTTTATGCTGTTTCAAACAATGCTCGTCTATTATCCGACCTGATTTGGGCAATGACTCTTTAAATATTTAACCCTCTTGTTTATATTAATTGCAACAATAATTATTTGCTAAGTATCGATATTTGGTTATCAGGACGGAGCTTTGCCGGTTTAGCGGACACAAGATATACCCCGGAAGAGGAATAAGGTTTATTCGCTCGGACTCCCAGGTAGGTTTAACGAAAGTGGTTTAACACAGTTTTTATTTTACAATATCTTTGCTTTATGTTTCTAAGAATATTAATTATTAATGTTTTTATATATATAGGTTTTCCTCTTCGTTAACTCGAAATGCAAGAGGTATTTCCACAACCGCCTGAGGCCTGCAAAGCTTACCTGGACTACCATGTACCGAAAACAACACAAGAAGGTAAATACGAAATTCTTGATAATTCCTCTCGTTTATCTATTTTTTTTTTTTTTTTTATGATCCCCTTTCTTGAATAATGATTTTGTTTCGTTTCTACTTTTGATAATCCAATAGGATGCTGCTGCTGAAGCAGTGAAGAAGAGGCGAAGGGCTACGAAGAAGCCGTACTCAAGGTCCATTGTCGGTGCCACTTTGGAAGTCATTCAGAAGAGAAGAGCTGAAAAGCCAGAGGTTCGCGATGCTGCTCGCGAAGCTGCTTTACGGTACGTTCATACATCTATCTATAGATCAAAATGTTTTAGGCCTCGTTTGGTTCCATGATTAACTAAGTAACTAATCCTATCCTGGCAACCAAACGAGGCTTTGGATGATATAATCTAAAGAATGCTCCCAAACAACATCGTTGTGTATTTGAACCGTGTATTGATGAGTTTCGTTTTGTTATGTATCAGTGAAATCAAGGAGAGAATCAAGAAGACGAAGGACGAGAAGAAAGCTAAAAAGGCGGAAGTGATTTCGAAGCAGAAGACTTCAAAGACTAGCGTGCCGAAGGGTGCCGGTCCAAAGGGTCCCAAGATAGGTGGCGGCGGCGGCAAGCGTTAATTTCCCTTTTTTTTCTTTTTAATCTTTATTTAAATTATTGTCTAATATTTTCTAAGGAACATACATATATTGGAGTTGGCATTGGTCAATTCCATTATGTTTTTTGTATTAATTTTTGGTTGTTGAGGAATTATTGGATTGTTAAAACCAAAAATATGTGCTATGTATTGAATTGTAAAACACTTTTCGTGTTATTAATGTTGGCAAAAATTCTTGAATAATTGTATAATAAGCTAAGAAGTAAAATGATAGAATATGTTTTGGGAAAATTACAGTATTCATCCCTCAAGGTTGCATTAATTGCACGTTTGGTCCTTCATATTCACAAAAAAGTACATTTGGTCCCTCATTTTTCAAAAAAATCAACACTTATAGTCCGACACGACAATTTTTCGTTAGTACTAATGGAATCTAGCGTGTGCCACTGACTGCTTTGACTAACGAACTAATGGTAAATTGAAAAAAATGATCAAAAGTGTCAAATTATTGAAATACTAGGGACCAAATAATTTTTTTTGAACATAAGGGACCATATGTGCAATCAGTGCACACCCGAGGGGTGAAACTTGTAATTTTCCCAATACTTTTTTATAACAATTATACAAACTATAAAATATTGGGTAAATTACGAAAATCCCGCTAAACTTAGGCTAAATAACAAAAACGTCCTACCTATTCGTAAGTACCAAAATACCCCTGATATTTGTTTTTCGTCTTACACCAACCCCTTACGGTGTGACTTTCACAGATTTTTTTGTATTCCAAGGAATAGACTTTATACGATTTCTTCAGATATTTTCTTTTATTTCTCACCTATTTAAAAGAAAGTATAATAAACTGTACATTTTATGTTCAAAAACTCGATCAACAATTAATCAGAGGGTAATTTTGGTTATTACAGATAGGTGGGGGTGTTTTTCATTATTTAGCCTAAGTTCAGGAGAGTTTCGTAATTCACCCTAGAATATAATTAGCAATTAAATATTATTGCTAGCCTAGCATCGATGAATCCTCATTAGATTCCACAAAATTCAAACTGTCATCACAAAACAGACAAAACAGAATGTTAGAGTATCCTTTCTGTCTAAACAAGAACATAGATTATCCCAATGTTAATTCCCTAATCACCACTATTTATTACATAATCCCACATTACCCCCCAAAACTTTCCCAAAAAAAATTAAACAATATTTTTCCAATGAATGGAATTTTACCTAACGGGCTCCGACCCGACGAGGCGTCGCCGGAATGGCTAAACAAAGGAGATAACGGCTGGGAGTTAACGGCGGCAACCATGGTCGGCCTCCAAAGCGTACCGGGCCTCGTAATCCTTTACGGCAGCATGGTGAAGAAGAAATGGGCCGTTAACTCGGCGTTCATGGCTCTCTACGCGTTCGCCTCGGTTCTAATCTGTTGGGTCATGTGGGCCTACCAGATGTCATTCGGGTCGGGTGGGATCTCGATACTCGGGAAGCCCGACCAGTCCACGTCGGAACTCTATCTGCTGGGACGATATAATAATAATACTAATACTGATACTAATAATAATAATAATGATTATTATTATATTCCGACGGCGGATTATGTTTTTTATCAGTTTGCTTTTGCGGCAATTACGGTTATTTTACTGGCCGGATCTTTATTGGGGAGGATGAATTTCTACGCGTGGATGATGTTCGTTCCGATGTGGGTGACGGCGTCGTATACGGTGGGGGCGTACACTATTTGGGGGAATGGGTTTTTGAGAAAGTACGAGATTATTGACTACGCGGGGGGTTATGTTATACATCTCTCTTCCGGTGTGGCTGGTTTCACCGCTGCTTATTGGGTAATTATTTAATTATTTATTTAACGACCATAACGCTTTAATGTGTTGCATAGTTAAAGCTCCATAAATTAATACAGTTGGGACTGACAAAATTATATTAATTTAGCGAAATATTAAATATCGAACTGATGATTCAGTACGTTTTTACCGAGTTTGGACCAGAAAAATTTATTAATTAAGCGAGATTATTAATTTATTGAATATTAATTTATTGAGGTTCTACGTAAAATGTTTTTTTCCTACCCAATTTATTAGAAGGAAAGATAAATTAAAAATTGATGGCTAACAAAGAGAAAAGTTTTTTTGATTTTTTTCTTGAATCTTGACCATTCAAAACTGTCCAGAGATTTAAACGAATCGAGTAAGATTTTCAACTAGCTAATTTAGTTCGAATGAGCTTAATTGATTAGTAGTCGATCAAGAGGTTTTAACGAGTCGAATATGAATAGAGCTCGAGTAGATTACTATTTTACAAAAAACTTTTTATTTCATTTTTCTAATCGATATCGAGTTTCAACTAATCTTCAAGGATTTTGTCGTAACTTTGTTTGCAAAATCATAATTCGGAATTTCGTTTTTTTTCTTTCTTGGGGGTGGTTTTGAAATGCAGGTTGGACCAAGGCATAGGCACGACAGGCAACATTTTCCTCCGAACAACATAATTAACATGTTGGGTGGGGCCGGTTTTCTGTGGATGGGCTGGACCGGTTTTAACGGCGGGTCACCGCTAGCGGCAAACGGAATAACATCGCTAGCGGTGTTAAATACCCATGTTTGCACCGCCACCAGCCTCCTCGTTTGGCTGTCGCTCGATATGGTGGTCTATCTCAAGAGCTCCGTTATTGGTGCCGTTCAGGGCATGATTACTGGCCTCGTTTGCATTACTCCCGGAGCTGGTAATTTCGTACTCTACTAATCGGAACGGAATTCAATTATATTGATTTTAATTTAGAACATTTTAATTTCATTCCGGTTTGGAAAATTTGATTTCGTCCCAAATAATAAAATTAACACGACCACTTTTTCGTTTTTGTGCGCGTGGACTATCTAATAAGGCATTGTGGACACATGGGCCGCGGTGCTAATGGGCATCTTATCAGGCTCGATACCTTGGTACACGATGATGGTTCTCCACAAGAAATCGGCCTTCTTCCAAGAAGTGGACGACACGCTCGGAGTCTTCCACACACACGCGGTGGCCGGTTTACTAGGCGGGCTTCTCTCGGGCCTATTCGCCAAACCGAATCTCCTAGCAATGTTCTACCAAACGAGCACTCACCGGCCGGGCTTTCTCTACGGCATATTCAACGGAGATTTCATTAACGGGCTCCGCCAAATGGGCTACCAAGTTTTGGGGGCCCTTTTTATAACGGTGTGGAACGTGGTTGTAACGAGCTTGATATGCATCTTGATTAGCCGTGTGATACAACTCCGAATGGACGAAGATGATTTGGAGATTGGTGACGATGCGGCCCACGGGGAGGAAGCTTACGCATTGTGGGGCGATGGGGTGCGGGACCCACCGCCTCTTAGATTTCGTATGACTCCTAGAATTCCTTCCTTTTGTAGACGCCCTGGCGTGAATCATTGAAGTTCAGTGTATTATTGTACGCGCACTATTTATAATTTAGCGTCTATTCATCATTTATTTATGTATAACACGCATACACATCGACATGATTATGCGTAAATGAACGATAAAAGTTTCACTTGTTGCACATGCATCGTGTGCAACATTTATTACGACGTGTAAAACGAGTTTTTTTTTTCTTCGTTCGTTTCTTTTCTAAATTGAATGCATAATTTGCACATAGCCAAAATTTATTTTTATATTTCTAATATGAGATTGAACAATAAATCAATGGGTAGTTTGAGAAGCAACTTTGGTAACAAATTTGGTAAAACGACGTCACTTTGGACCGTCAGCCATTTGCCGGTATAGAATTTGTTTGCGCTGAAACTGATTTATCAGTCATCATTGCCCAATCCATAAATTGAATTATTACCTTTTGACCCCAAAAAAGAAATTGGTGTAACCGTCTAGTACTCGAAAAATTGAATTGATATTTTATTACATATTTTACGTCATAAATTTCTCCCATAAATAAATTAATTTTAAAAAAAATCAAAATTTCTATTGACCAAAATAATTGGCACCACATATAAGATCGATGATGTTTGCAAATCACACCATTCAAGATTTTTGGTACTAATCCACATATATATAAAAAAACTGAAATGCTAAATCCCACATTATTTTTACCAAATCACGCACATAATTAAAAAATATTTATCCCTCTAAAATTTTCTCTTCTTCCCATCCTTCTTATTTTTCCCTAACTTTTTTTCACAAAATCACACACTAAAAACATCCTTAGCATTCCAAGTTCGAATTTGACAAAAATCTTCACATGTTCAAACTAAAATAAAGTTGGAATTTGAGGGAAAAAATCGAATTCATATGAATTTGAATAATTAAAAATGCTTAATGTAATTGAATAAATATTAAATAAAACGGAACTCATTTTTTATGATTATTCACGTACAATAATAATGAATTTTGAATGACTTGGATAAAATCATTTTAGAGAGAAGTTAGAGAAAATTTGAGCAGAGAGAGAATGTTTTTTTAAATTATGTGTGTGATTTAGTAAATTTTAGTGTAGGATTTAGCACGCCCCATAAACAAAATATTAAAATCAACATGTTATTTATTCTATGAATAATCGAATTATTAAATACTATATTAAGATATTTTCATTTTAAATTTATTTAATATAAAATTAAATTGGCCACAATTGTTTTCGCCTTGAGACTTCAGAGCTATAAAAATTACTTTGATGCCCTAAAAGCATATAATTATTTTTGTTATCTTTCATTACACGTCCTAAAAGAAACCTTTGATGGATTTCTTGTGTGCACTCTTCAATTTTTTATTAGTCAAAATAGTAATTAAGGCCAAAGGAAAACAACACACCCAAAAGGGAAAAAAAGGAAAGATCAAGTAGTGAAGAAATAAAATTCATCTAAATGGGACCCGTCGGACCGGCTAGTTCGATCTGTTTCAGAAAACATTAGTAAAATTAACCGGTCTATGAGATACTATATCCGGTAAATTACATCGAGTGATTTTAAACTGTATATTTATACAATTAATCAGCCACTAAGTACACATACACATGGGTATGTGTTACTATGTGTAGATTTATGATTTAAAATCACCGAGTGTATTTCACCGGGTGTAACATCTACAAAACCAAATTAACATGTACTGTTAATTATGTAATAAAAAATGCATCAAAGAGTACTGACTTTTGATAACATTAATAACACTACGGTTTTTTTCGCAAGTCGAAATAAGGCAAATTACGGCCATCCTCTGAGGTATATGCTCAAATTACGAAAAAATCCCTCATGTTTGAATAATTATAGCTACCCATCAACTAAGCATTATCTTACACGTCCATTTTTACGGTGTCAAATTTACTGAATGAGGGTTTTTTTTTTTTTTTTTTTCGTAAGATAATATGTAGTTGAGGGGGAAGGTTGTAGTTATCCAAACATGATGAATTTTTTTTTTTTGTAATTTAAGCTTTTACTTCAGAGGGTTCGCCGTAATTTACCCTTCGAAATAATACTGATTTTTTTTTTTACAAATGCATTTTTTTTAATTTCCTTTTTTTAAACCTTTGAAAAGTAGGTAAAATCAGTTATTAAGAAAATAAAAGTGATCCACAAAAGATGGCTACTTGCAAGAAAATCGTGCCACATTCTCTTAATTAACAAATGCTTTCATCACATTCCCTTTTCACTTTCTACATTAGTTATCATGACAAATGTAGCGTGCTTTGCATGAAAATCTCATCTCATTCATTTTTTTACAGTTTCACACCAACAAGTTTGCAATAACTCTCTCTCTCTCTGTGTTTTTTGTTTGTTTGTTCGTTTATTAGACAGAAGCCAATTAATTATAAGAAGAAGTGTTGCTTGTCATAGGCAAAGTTCATATCCATATTTTATTATTGCTTCCCCATAATTCTTTTATCCAATCTTGAAAATTCTTAATTGTTTTTGCCCATAAGTAACAATTAAATTTCCCCATCCTTTGTGATTTCACACCTCCTCTATTTAAAGGGGGCCTCTCTTCCATTCTACAAAATATTCACAACACTCACCAAACAAACAAACAATCTTGAAAAAATAAAAAAAATAATATAATATGATAATGAAGTTCTTGCTAGCTCTTCTCTCATTGGTTCTAATAATCGGTCTCGTGGAGAGTTTCGATTTCCACGAGAAGGAATTGGAAACCGAAGAGAGATTGTGGGATTTATACGAGAGGTGGAGGAGCCACCACACCGTCTCGAAGAATATCGACGAGAAGCACAAGCGCTTCAACGTGTTTAAGGCCAACGCTCACTACGTAAACGATTTCAATAAAAAGGACACTCCTTATAAGTTGAAATTGAATAAATTCGCGGATATGACTAGCCACGAGTTCAAGAGCGTCTACGCGGGCGCAAAAGTCAAACATCACCGCATGCTCCTAGGTAACGTACGAGGAAATGGAACATTCATGTACGAGAACGTACGAACCGTTCCGCCCTCCGTTGATTGGAGGAAGAAAGGAGCCGTCACCGATGTCAAAGATCAAGGGCAATGTGGTAAATATATTTATCGCTTTTTTTTTCTTTTTCTTTTATATAATTTTCTTACAATAATTGATTTTTTTTAATATCTATATTTTTAGGTAGTTGTTGGGCGTTTTCGACGGTGGTGGCGGTTGAAGGGATAAATCAAATCAAGACGAACAATTTAGTTTCGTTGTCCGAGCAAGAACTCGTTGATTGTGACACCGAGCAAAATCAGGGATGTAACGGAGGATTGATGGATTTGGCATTTGAATTTATTAAAAAGAAAGGAGGGATCACAACAGAGAAAAATTACCCTTACACAGCTGCAAATGGGAGGTGTAATGGCAAAAAGGTAATATATCCTATATTTTACAATTAAATCATAATATTGAACATATTTAAATATTTAAATATTACTTTTAATTCAACTGCAGGAGAACTCTCCGGTTGTCGCAATCGACGGGCACGAAAACGTTCCCGTAAACGACGAAGAGGCGCTGTTGAAAGCAGCGGCTAATCAGCCTATATCGGTTGCTATCGATGCTGGAGGTTCCGATTTTCAATTCTACTCCGAGGTAAAGTATAAATTGGAACATAATTTCCGATTATGAAATACAAATTTTCAATCCTTATTCTGTAAACTCGGATTCCAATTTTTTCGATTTTTTTGGATCGGAATTGAAATGTATATGGGATTCCAATTTTCGATTCGATTTTAATTTTGATACTAATTTTTTTTTCTTCCAAAAATTACACTTATAACATCAATTTAATATAGTGTTTCATATTTTAGGTGCCTAAAAATTAGTAATTTTCCGCATTTCCCCAAATTCCGCCGATTTCGATCCATATATTACCGATTTTGGAACAATTTCTCATTTATTTTTTGTTCCGAATTCCAATTTCCGATTTTTCTAATTTTTATTTGGGAATGAAATTGTAATTAATAATTATTAGTTTTTCACTTCTGGAAAAAAAAAGAGAAAAATCTAAATTTATTCCAAAGTGCTAATTTTGATCCCATCCATCCGATTTCGTTCCGTGTTCCAATTTCCGATTTTTCTGATTTTTTTTGGAACAGAATTGGAATTAGTTTTTCACTTCTGAAAAAAAAAATCTAAATTTATTCCAAAGTGCGAATTTTGATCCGATCCATCCGATTTCCACCCATTTTGACACTTATAACACTAGAGTGCTTATATTTAAGATTGTCCAACTCTTTGATATAATAAAACAAGATCCTAATTATTATTTTGGGTGATTTATAGGGAGTGTTCACAGGGCAATGCGGCACGGAGCTCGATCACGGGGTAGCGATCGTAGGGTACGGAACAACCCTAGACGGAACGAAATATTGGACGGTGAAAAACTCGTGGGGAGGCGAATGGGGAGAGAAGGGATACATAAGGATGAAACGTGGGATTGAAGCAAAAGAAGGATTATGTGGGATTGCAATGGAAGCATCTTATCCAATCAAGAACACATCAAGTAATCCTGGACAAGATGCTGAGTCATCAATCAAGGATGAACTCTGAGTCACAGTACTTTCAAGAATATCTGTATTTCCATTAATTATCTATATTTGCATTATTATTAAAATCAAGAAGCCTTGCATTTTACTATTGTTTAGTGAACTACTTCAGACAAAAGAATTTCTGAAAAATTGTAATTTTCTTGAAACTATATGTACTGATCAGGTGCACTGATTTATAAATAAATTGTTCTATATGTTATCAAACAACACGTGTACGTTCAAAAATAATGCAACAAAAGGTAGGTTTAGAGGTGAAAGTCGGATGGATCGGATCGGAATTAGCCTTTTCGGAAATTTCCGAAAAAAATCGGAAGTAAAAATTCAGCTCCAATTTCAATTCCAAAATTTTCGGAATCTAAAAATTTATTCCGATTCCAAAAGGCCCGGAAATTTTGGAATTTTTGAATTTTTTTTTGGAAATCAATAAAGTTTTAAAATTTCAAAACTTTGTGGAAATTTTCTGAAAATTTCATAACTTACCGAAATTAAGAACATCCACGTCGATAAAAGTAAAACTAATAACTACTAAATTTCAGTTCAACAAAATAAATAAAAATAAACTACAATTCAATAAAACTTCTAACAACAATTTAATATATCAAAATCATAAAACCAAACTTAAATCAAATTACTATTTTAGAAAAAAAAAAATAATTAGAAGTTCGGTCTCGGATTATTTTTTAATAAAGTTTTTTTTCACATAAAATTGAAAAAAAATAAGTATAAGCTCACAAAATTTTATGGGTTTTTTGCAAGAACCACTCTCGTGTAATCTCTAATTGCTGAAAAATCCCTTGTGTTAAAAAATTTAGCACGGACTCCCCCTATGAAAGTATGTCAAAGCCAATAAGGTCCCTAACAGCTTATTGTGTTCTGCACGCGAGGATTGTGCGGCTGAGGGTGCGTGTTCTGACCTGAAAAGACTTAAATACCCTTTAAAAGAAAAAAATGAAATTACAAACCAACCCCAAAATTTTTATTACACCAAAATGAAAGTTTCAGAATTTTCAATTTAGTCCTTGGCAATTTCAAAACGCCATCTCCTTTCCGTTTAAACTCTCCACCATTTTCACGCACAACATATATGAAATCCTGCTCTGATGGCGCCCCTATACCGGAAGTTGACCAAAAGATACGTTTTTCCAGACGCTTTTCCGACAAAAAAAATTTTCGGCTGAATTTCTTCTTAGACAGATCACTCCATTCCTTCATGTTTTTTCCAGCAAAAAACCAACCGACATTCTGAGCTTGAAGCTTTTTTATACATCAAATCAAACTAAGGGAAGGGTCGGAAATTTGCAAGATTTGAACTTATAAGGTTTTTCAAGGAACCCCATAAATTCCATGACAAAAATCATAACTTAATTTTTTCAAAAATTAGACCACAAAGCCTTTTTTTTTTTTTTTTTTTTTCTCTTGTAGCATAAGATATACTCTTTTGTTCTCACAATATTCTGCTCCTCTTCTTACGATATTTTGCTCGGTGAGTGGGGTACGATATGAAAGGGAAAATCTCGAACGACACTGTTTGAGTTTGATTGCTTCGGCGAGGGCACCATTTTGTTTTCCGGTGATTGAGTCGGCGTTACCAATCACGAACTTGCGAGATACGTTTGGGGGCGGTGTAAGAGATGGTTGGAAGAAGAAGGTATTTAATTAATGAATCTAAATTTATTTATGTAAATTGAATAAAAAAATGCGTTAATAGCATTTTGCCACCTGAACTTTGTCCGTTTTTGCACTTTGTCACCTTAACTCAAAAAGTTGCAAGCGCACACCCAAACTCAGTTTTTTGACGCACATAACACCTAGGGGGAATATTCCGGCGAATATTCTCATTTTTCGTCTTTTCACCTGAAAATATCATAAGGGGGTGAAATTGAAAGTACCAGGAACTCAATTAAACTTAATTTGAAACTTTCACAAATTCGAAATTAATTGAAGCTTTGTGGCTTCATCTTCCATGGAATCAAAACACCCACCGCAGCACGCCTATTTCAAAATGGAGCAAAAAAAATCTCCAATAAAGAGATGAAGAACAACGACATCAATCTGCTGAAATTCGTCATGGATGAGAGAGACGAAAAACCAAACTCCGGAAGCGATTGAATCGGATTGAATTTGCTGAAATACCGCATGTACCACCGTTTTTCCTCATCGCCGAGGTACCTTTTCAGACATGCAAACCGATTTCGACGCTTTCCCACGAATTGTCGGGGCCCAAATCGAATACTAAACCCCTAGAGAGCGACGAATGTGAAGGAAGTGGTGGAATTGAAGTGGGCGTGGGCCACTAGGCCAAAATGATTGACTGGCGACGAAAATGTAAATTTGACGACGATTTTTCAAGATTTGCGACGAACGTTTTTCGTCGCCAAATCCGACAAAAAACGCCACCAAACGCCCCGTCGCAAGGTCTGCGACGAAAAATCATTTGCGACGCTAGGTTTGGCGAAGAATCACATAAATCGTCGCCATATTCGTATTTTCCGAAAAAAATGTTTATTTTAATGTTCGCGACTGATCCTATACTTTCGTCGCTTAACATTTGCGACCAACAACTAATAAGTCGCAACCGTTTGCGACGATTTATCTTTTCGACGCCACATTAAGCGACGTTTTGTGATGATTTCGTCGCTACGTTTGCGAAAATGTTTGCGACTAATAATCGTTTTCGTCGCAAGTCCAAAGACTTATTTGCGACGATTTATTTATGTGATTCGTCGCTAGATACTACTGCTTCTGTTTGCGACTATTGTGTATTTTAGTCGCAAAGTTTTTTTATTTATATATAAATTCTGGTTCATTTATATTTTCAATTGACAAATTCAACCTGTATTCAGCAGTTGTAAAAAAAAAAAAACACTTATATCAAAAATATTAAAACTAATTATATGGATTAAATATCAAGGTAGCACAAAACATAAATTAGAAAAGTATATAAAAACTTAAAAGCATATAATGTAGTGTTTCATACTTTAATTCAAAAATCAAACAAAGTTCATCCCTTTTTATACTCCACCATCATTGGAAGGAGTCGATGTCGAGGCTTGTAGTCCAAAACGGCCGACCAAGGTGTTCACAATATCTCGGGTTTCTTTCAATTCCGCTTCCAATCTTTCCAACTATAAATACCTGCACTTTTACACCATCTTGGATCTCTGCATACCAATTATACAAACAACAATTTTGTCAAGAAAAAAAAGTACAGTATATTCCATCCAGTGATTAATAAATCGTAATTAATTACCGCAATGACATGTGCGAAAGCATACTGAATGCCGGTAGCCCTGACTTCGAGAGCAGTTGCACCTCCGATTCTCTTCACCTCTTGAAAAGAGAATTATATTCATTCGTCGAATTTATTAAATTGAATTTCTTTAATAAATAAACAATAAATGCATGAATAATGACTTGCCTTGTAGCACAAAGGCCAAAAGGTGTTCCTTTATTTCTTAGATGTTGGGAAGGAAATGCTGTAAAAGTGCAGATATTTATATTTGTCACTGTATCATCATCCTCAAACAATATTTTTTTTTTAATTTCATCGATCTGATATTTGCCTATCGACTGCAGATTCAAATGAATTTTAAAATAAATTTCAGACTGGGTAATTTACACACAACTTCAAAGCAATTTTATTAGGATTTCAAATCAATGAAAATAAAATTAGGGCAAGAAAGTTACCTTTTTGTGGTTGTTGATCGAGAGCTAGGTAGAGATGAGGACATTAGGGCTAGCTACAGATGAACGAGGCCGTAGGGAGAAGAGGGAGGTGGCGGCGCCGCCGTATAGACCTCGCCGGATGATGGGCGGAGAGCTGGGCAGAGAGCTACGGCGGACGGCGGACGAGCAAGACGGAGGGGGATTGAAGAGGGCCGACGGCGGCGGCGGACGCAAATGGGGAGGCGCCAGCGGAGCGGGAGGCACCGGCATATGGCAGATGGTGGAGAGATTGAAAGAGAGAGAGAAACGAGAAGAAAGGGATAGAGAAATGGGGAAATCGAATTAGGGTCCTTATTCTAATTAAATTCTTTGCGACGATTTCTACCAAATAGTAGCAAACTCAGCTTTAAACGAATCTCTTGGCGACGTTTATCCACTTTTCGTCGCAAACAACAAAAATAAAAAATAGCCTTGCGACATTTCCTCAGAAAACGTCGCTAGAAAAAAGCGGAATTATTTTGGCGACGATTAATACACTATAGTCGCAAATAATAATTATAATTTTTTTAACAATTTTTTTACTAGCGACGTTTAGTGCACTTTCGTCGCGAAGAATAAATATTATTTAATATTCCACTTTACTATGCTACGTTTATTCAAATGCGTCGCCAACCCAATAAAATGCTTTTTTTTTTCACAATTGCACTAGCGACGTATACGTCATATTCGTCGCTAGGGAAAAAAATTGAAAAAAATAAATTTCGTGCGTCGTTTATATAAATACGTCGCTACGAGAGGACTTTATTTTATTTTATTTTTTCTGTTTGCGACTTTTTTGGACATATAGTCGCCACTTTGTGACGATTAATATTATCGTCGCGAATATTCCACCGAAATCTTATTTTTTGACAATTGGCGACGTTTGTTGATATAAATCGTTGCAAGCTCGCGACTATTCATAAATAGTCGCAAAAAAAAAAACGTCGACAGTGAGCTGTTTTGGCCTAGTGGGCGTGGATACTTGAATTGAGAAGTGACCCGCTGCTCCAGTAATTCTCATTTGTTGCCTTTTTGTTGGCGCTTCTACTCATTTAACTGTTGGATACAATAATTTAACTCTTAATTGACTTTTTTATTTTTATTTTGAAATATCTTTTCTTAAAAAAAATTATTTTAATTAATATTACTGCCTTGGCTGGTAAATTACTGTCTCCAACTGTAATTTAACTGTCTTAGACAATAATATTAATAATATTGTTCGGGAAAATAATATTCATAATATTACTGTGCCAAACAGTAATTTAGTAGCCAAGACAGTAGTATTAATTAAAATATTTTTTTTCTAAGAAAAAAAAATTCAAAAAAAAAAGTCAACACGGGAGACCGACGGTCAACGGTGGTTGACCGGCCGGAAAAAAATTTCAGAAAAAAAAAAAAAGTTCAACGCCGGAATTTGGCCGGAAAAAAAAATTATTTTCTGAAAACAAAATATTTTGGGGGTTAATGTGGTATATTTATTTAAATCTGGGGTCA